GTACTTAATCTCACCCGTCTTACGCTAAGGCGCTACGGTAACATTACTGTTACTTCTAATTAAGTATGATTTGACGAATGAAGTTGAAAAGTGGGAATTATCAGCTAATCCGAAGAGAGCTCATTAACTCACCTGTGCAGGTATCGTATGTCCCAATTCTAACCTCGCGGGCAGACTTGTGCTGACCTAATCAGTTACCTCCCTTGACATATTCAGGGGAGATAATATTAATGTAATGAGAATTTAAATTATTTATTGCACCAGGATGCATATATACCGTTTATGTTGTTTCATTAACTCAACTATCAAATGTAATCTTTTTATTGCCTTAGGAAAACACTGAATTTTTAAAAAAAACGTATGTATCCAGTCAACAATGTTTTATAATAATCATGTCAAATTAAGAGTTTTAATTCTGAAACGATTATAATTCATTATAATGTTTGGATTTAAATGCCAAGGACAGATATTTTAGTGTTGAAACACTAATATGTTCATACATTTTATTTTTTTTCATAATTTGGGATAAAATAATGGACAAGAATTATATGAAGGGCTCCAAATTATTTTTTTACTATACAACAGACAAGAAATACATTGCTTTAGCAATCTTTTTTTAAGGATCTGCCAACCCTAACCATATGAAGAGTGAAAGAAGTAAAAAGACTGAAAAATATATTTATTTAATGCCACACTCAGCTATATAGGACAGTGGTCTGTAAATACTCAAGTCTGGGCCCAACCAAAATGTTGATATTCTTAGCAACAAGCCATGATGTTAGGCTAGGACACAACAAAGTCTGACCAACCGTTCAGAGGCCTGACTGGTTCTAACCTTGAATCCCAGCTGGTTCTGTCTCTATAAGTAAACATGCATCATACATGCAGTATGTCAACCAGACAGAGACATTCATGCAGGATATAGAGAATTATGACAATCAATTTGTAAAGGTCATCATTTCACATTTACACAATGCTGTCATGACCTTTGGGATCACTCAGCAGTTGGCTTTGGTTTAGCAGTAGGTTTGGGTTCTGACTTCCTTTCTAGGTCCCCTTTCACACATTCAGTGATGTGTAGACTAAAGCTTAATCTACAAATATACTAGTATATAATTTTGATAGAAACTAATGATTCCTTTTCAACTGAAAAGAAGTCGGAATGGGTGATTCAGAACCTAAATAAATCTACACTTGCTTCATTTAGGGTTCCAGCATTGGAGAATGGGCTGGGCAGGGAGATAAAATAATGTGGTTGAGGAACTAAGTGATGTGCTACGACTATTTTAATGTCTTTACTTTACATTGGAAGTGAATCATATAACAAATATCAACCTGATTCAGAGAAAAGAGAATAACGTAATGGTTGAAAAATAACACATTGAAGCTTGTCCTCTTTTCCGAATTAGGAAAATATAAGACCATTACTGTTAAAAGACCAACCATTCAAATTTTCACTCATATATTTTAGTGATGAACGTGGGGACTGGTCAGCTGGTTTGTTTGAGCTCATTTACCTATTATATATAAACAGGTAAAAAGAAATTCACATTTTATATAATTAAATACACTTGTATACTTTGGAAACTCAGTCGGCAAGAAAAGGACACATAGTGTATATATGTAACGCAAATGCGATGGTATTCAGTAAAATGTGAGATCAGTTAGATTCTCAGATCCCCCACCCCTGAAAAAAGATTGGCAACAGGTCATAGTATTAGTAAACAATACTTGTCACCTCTTATAACCCAAATGGGTGCTGTGAGGTAGCATAGTAGAGAAAGTGATCAATGATCATTTCGCAGACCCAAGTTCGATTCCCCACATGGGTACAATGTGTGAAACCCAGTTCTGGTGTTTCCTGCCGAGATATTGCACGGACGCAAACATGCATGCACATGGTCACCAGTTAGACTTAGACCTACCTCCAGTTGTTTGTCTGAGTGTGCTGGTGTCTGTGCAGGGGCTAGCTCAGTCGGCTCTACATTATACAGTCACAGTGATATGGAGGATTATTACATATACCAGCTTACCAGGATTAACAGTATTAGCATTGAAGTAAGGAGTAATTGTTAATGTTTGATTTGATCTGCCCCCGAGGTAAAGGGAAACAAGAGGTGTTTATTTAGAAATATTTTAATTCATGAGCAAGTAAAATGTTAATCAAAGGAATAGTCCTGATGTCTTTGGTGAATTCTCATAGTTTGTAGCTAGTCCTGTTCGAACATGACAAAAATGTTAACTATATTTACAGTGTTCGAGAGTTTATACAGAGCAGTTTTACATTTCAGATCATAGAGATTTAAAACAGTGAGAACTGGTTTAGAATTCCACATGCAACAGCCACTGAATTCGAACATGTCCTCAGCTCAAGTCAGTAGTTACAGACCAGCAGATTAGCATAAATTTCTAACGTTCTTCAAGGCATTTACAAATTGGACGAACATGAATGAATGACACGTTTTATGGAGAACTTCTAGGTGTTATATTGTCATCTGTCATATTGACTGCAATGGTGTTAGATGCAAAATAATATATTTGGAAGCCACGGTGGCTGAGCGGGTTAGACAGCTGACTTTGAGAGTGTGGGTTCAAGTCCTTGATGGGACTCAACCCAACAAAAGTACTAGAATCTGTACTTTACAAAGAAAGTCTAATCCCAAATATAACATATGTTACGTTTTACCACTTTCTAAATGGCATTGTGTATTCAAAGGAATCTTGGGTCTATATCTGCCGTAAAGACATGTTAAAGTATGGGGGTTATGATAACAGGGTTCTTACAAGTTAACAACCATCTAATGTAAGGCCTTTTTATCGACTATTCAAGTCCCAATATTTTTGTTAAGACAGACAGATAGACATATTTATTCAGTATAAAGGCCACTGGCCCAAAATACAATCATATTGACAGATAAATTCTGCGCATTGTACAAAATACATTATAAAACTATGGAAAATTTATATAAAGTACTTATTACTCCTGTCAATAATTTGCTGGACCTTACATAAATATAAGGAAATCTTTCTCAACTGACTGAAGTCTTGAGCTGATATTAACAAATGTAGTATCAGAATTACATGTAGATATGCCCAGTATATTATGCCGCAACTGATGATATTGTTCACAGATTAATAATATTTGTTCTTCATTCTCAATGTAATACTTCCCTTGTGTTAAACAATACTGGCACAACCTATCTCCATACAATGTAGAGGAGTATCTTCCCTTATTAACAGCAATTCTAAAGTTACTACATCTAAATCTGGCTAAAACAACCTTAAGCTGTAATGGTAAGGATGACATAAGATATGTTTCAACTTGTAAAAGAGATTTAAACTGTTTGTATAAAAAAGAATCTGACAAATTATCAACTTGCATATGCCAATCCTGCTTAAGGTCATCAGGTAATCTCTGATTGAAGGTACAAATAAACATGTCAACATCACCTTCTTAAAGCTTCCTGAGATACCCATGCAAAACCAAATCCATATTTGAAAAGAGTATTCTTAATATGACTAGCCCAAGTGATTCTACCTCCCTCATCTAATTTTAAAAGCATCTGTAACACTGGTTAGGTAGACGAGATTGGTCCATATACAATAATTTACACCAATATTTGACAGCCCTTGTCATATATGATAACTGCAAAGGCATCCTGCCACTCACCCAGAGCCATTACATTACAAGTATTCTTTTTTACCTTCAATATCCTTTTACACATAAATATTTTTGTTAAAGGCCCCATAGAAACACTTACAGTACATAAGCAGTTGAACAAACCCGAGGGTGGCCAATGTGGGATAACAAATAACTCGTAGCTACATCGCTGGGATGGGAAAGTTTTGCTTCCCAATGTAGATTAATTAACACACATCATCATTGCAAGGTATCATTGATGCATATTTTTTGTAAATTCATAACTTGATAAGTTTTGCTAAATTTAGTGTCTTTTCAGGGCAAATCACTCTTGATAGGGACTTTTCAAGCCTTAAACAAATTTAGGGCCATTTTAGGAAAAGTGTTAAAATTTCAGGTTTTTCGTTCCTGTGTGAACCATGGATAAACTTAGCAATATGATCACTTGTTGAATGGGGGCTGTGGGACACATCCCTGGACACTTCAACGCCATTGAAGTGGTGGTGTGTAGTCCTGTCCAGGTCACAAATTACTTGAAGTTAAGCAACCTTGGGCGTGGAGAGTCCTTGGATGGGTGAGCATGTGTGACAGCTTAATTCCTGACAGTTTAATAACTTTTAGTCCTGCCCCACAATGAAGCAAGTGAGTTTGTTCAAAATTACCTCTGTTCACCCAGCAGAAAATGGGTACCAGGTGGGATAAATAATGTGACTATTAACCTTCGAGCGCCTCACAGGCAGCTTGGCTCATCCACGGGTAATAATGATCAGATTGTCCGCTTTGAGCATCCTTATGGTTCGAAATAGCACCACAGAAATGCATTATTATTATTATTATTATTATTATTATTATTATCTGCTTGTAGCTGTGATTTTATGTGACCTGACACTTCACTCACTCTGTGTTCCTACTTGTTCTGTTGGTTTCTTTAGTGCGTGTTTTCATCTCAGCCTACATCATCATTCTACCTGTATGGCATATGTTTCTAATTAACCAAACATGGACTAGTGACTGATATCATGAGCATCAGTTCACGATAACAAACATCAACCAATAATGCAACCTCACCAGCCAAACCAAGTAAATGAGTGAGTTGGGTTTTACATCGCTTTTAGCAATATTCCACAATATCACTTTAGGGGACACCAGAAATGGGCTTCACACATTGTACCCATGTGGGGAATAGAACCCAGGTCTTCAGCATGACGAGCGAACGCTTTAACCACTAGCCTACCCCACCGCCCCCATGTAAATGGGTAACCAGAAGAATCGGTTGCCGATATTTCACACCAGGAATCTCCATGGTTCTGCTGGTATTCAATTTCATCAGTATGGGAGCGAATGTTGAGATACAACCAAGATGTGTAAACTCTTTATTTTCATCTTGAATATATATTGTATAGAGATAAAAGTTTATTTGAATCACATAACTGTAAACTGTATAACAGTATAAAGAGTATTTGTGCTAATGTTTCATTTTGACATCTTGTCTGAAAGGACTGAGCCAGTCTAATATGATAAATTCTGGCTTTGTTACTATAGAAACACTCTTCTTTTGCTGTTTAACCATTTTCAAGTCAATGCTGCAGTGGCAGCTTCATTTCGGTTGCTATGGAAACAAGACCAATCAAGGTATTGTTAGCATGGGAACTGGGAACATTATTCTCTCCTCCATACATATTGTATTAATTTGGAAATATATGTTAATTATAACATCAAAGATGAATGTTCAGCCTTCAACAGTAGATAAGTCAACAAAGTCAGATAATGATTCATAATGTGCTATCTTAAGCTAATCTGCCTTGTAAGCATGTTGATCTAAACTGCATTCTTGTAAAGATTGCAAGGTGTCACTGCATCATGAGTCACAGTTATTAAATGTATTTAAAATCTGACATAACAGTGAGCACAAAATAATGCCATTAAGAAATCACATTGCACAAATGGTATTGCTAGAATAATCATAGTAAGATCCAAACCCGCACAACCTCCCCATGCTTCCTCCTCTACCCCTCAGTCCTTCACTCACTCACTCACTCATTCACACATTCACTCACTCACACATTCACACACCATCCTCTCACCCACTCTCCATCCTTCACTTGCCATTGAAATAAGAAATTGGCTAGTAACTGATAGCCCAACTGACGAGCAATATTTTGAGACTATTTTCTGAAGGTAGCTTCACTAACTCACTCACTCAAACAAGGGGACCCTGAAACCTAACTAGCACCATGAACAACCACTGATTACCAACAAATACACATGAAACATACATTTGTAAACTGCATAGTATAAGATCCTTAAGTAATAAACACAATTAAATATGATATCATAATTATCAGCAAGTTAATTTCATCTGAGCAAATCTCAAATATTAAAAAGGTTGACAATTCATACCATCGTATTCATGCTCCCTTAAATCAATCCTAAATTAATGTAGTCAATTTCCATATATTTGAAAACAAGACAGTCCCTGCTATCCAACTTTAAGGATGGTTCTGAGCTGAGTACAGTGTGTGTAAAATAATTCTTCAATCAACCACATTGACATGGAGCTACAGTCCACATGGATGAAATGCAGAGGCAGGTTTTGATATGGTCCCTCAGTACCAGGGGAGTTTCTCAATATCAGTGTTTCCTCCACACAGAATTACACCGATGTTTCTCAGGTTGTCGTCCATGTTCCGTAGTCGCTGTGAGAATGCTGCAGCTACAGCTGCCCCAGAGGCCGCCTCAATTACAAGCTGAACAGAGAAGAACCAAATTTTGTTATCACATTGATGAAAGAGTATGTTCAGTTAGGGTCCAGTGTACGAAATAGCAGCTGGCCTGCTAGCCCGTGGCTAGTAAAAATCCAGTCGGGCCAGTAAATCCCCACAGTCGCTGACCGACTGGCTAGTGAATTTTCATGGGGTCATTATTTATATATATCACTCTCTCCGACTTGTTAAGTTATAATACACTTATAAATCATGCAAGATTAGGGCCTGATAAATGATGGTATTTTACCTTTTAGTAATCTTTTGCTTAGTTTCTACTTTCAAATTTCGGGCTAGTGAATTATTTTGAGGGATCATAACTTTCAGGCATAGCCACCATGACTGGCTAACAAAATTTGGAAGCTATTTCGCACACTGGTTAGGGTTGAGATGAAATTGGGTTTAACCACAGGCCACCATTTTGTCCGGACATATCGTCATCCATTTGTGTCAAGATCGTTTAGTTGAAGATCAAAATCAGGTTTGAATCGACTTGCAGAAAGAACAATAAAGAATTGGTAGGTGTCATGAGTGGTGATCGGTAGGCCAAACATCCATGATTATGTTTACATTAAGTTTTAATCAATTGCATGCGATGATAGCGTAGCGATCGGCAAAGCAGGCGGGTGGGGTACATCGAAGTGTCCGCCCTTGTCATAATGTATTTTACTGCGAAGCATTTCGAGCAGGGGGGTCATCTCAAATTGTTTCAAAAAATTTCAAAATCTTTAATCCTCGCAAAGACACAAGGGCCTGTGGGTTTAACATCATGTAGAACATTTCTGCCCTCCCTTAACTCAACATCCATCCATATGTGTACACACAAGCTCACTTCAGACTCAGGATCGTGTTAAATAACACATCCACTCAACTAGGAAGTAGACTGTTACTTGTCATAAACAAGTGGACTGGAGGTTGTGTCTGTCACTGTTTTGGAGTACTATAGGCGTGGTAGGTTTTATGCCGATATGTAATGAAGTTATTTCAGTACATAATGAGAAAGGAGAGTCAAAATTCATCAATAAATCAAAATGTGATTTGACCCATGGATCGGTAAAAACTGGAAAGAGTAAACCCGTTGGGCCACTCTTACCCTCACTTAGGGATGAGGATGGGTCTGTTTCTACCATCAGTGGGACAGCCCAGTAGGTAGAGCGTATACGCATCACTCCAAACACCTTGATTTCAAACCCCATATTGGTACAATGTGAACAGCCCTTTTCGGTTGTCCCCCTCCATGACATTGCAGGAATATTGCTAACAGTGGCGTAAAACCTCACACACTCACTCACTCCTCCTACCTTCATTTTCTGGAAGACAAACTTCATTCCTTCCTTCATTTCTTCATTTGTCTGCAACAGAAATGTGGGGCAATTATTTCATCGTTAGAGGATCACACAATACACATGCTGATTTATCATTTGTAGAAACAAACAACACATCTGATTAAGCATTCATTTCACTTACTAACATGATGACAAAGTTGAAAAGTCAGAGTCAAGATTTAAACCAACTATCAGATTTTCAGGTGGCTGAATGAACAAAACAAATCTTTCCCTTCCAGCTACGGCTGAGGTACTCACCTGGGTAAACACCTCTTTCATCTTTTGGCTGTGGGAGCCGTGCCAATTACACTTATCAGAGGGGTACACAAAGTCTGTGGTCTAGACTACCAGTTTTCTGACTTCCATTTTTGTGTGCTGGAGATTAGGTGCCTGACTCTGAGGGTGTGGGTTTGAATCCCGGATGGGACTCAACTCAACAAAAGTACAAGAATCTGTACTTTACTGAGAAAGTGTAATCCCAAATATAACATGTGTTACATTTGACCACTTTCTAAATGGCATTGTGTATTCAGAGTATAGTATTTGTCAAATTTGTCCCTGCAAAGGACAAATAGTCGAAGTCTGCCTCTCCTTACATGGTTACTGACAGGTGGAGGTGACACGATTTGAACATTGCTGACTTGTGTTTTCATTAATACCTCTTACCCTGCCAGGAGATGGTAAGCTACTCACCTGAGTAAACACCTCTTACCCTGCCAGGAGATGGTAAGCTACTCACCTCGGGAGATGGTGAAATGCTCCTCAGTAAACACCTCTTACCCTGCCAGGAGATGGTAAGCTTCTCACCTGAGTAAACACCACTTTACCTGCCAGGAGATGGTGAAATACTCACCTGAGTAAACACCTCTTACCCTGCCAGGAGATGGTGAAATACTCACCTGAGTAAACACCTCTTTACCTGCCAGGAGATGGTGAAATACTCACCTGAGTAAACACCTCTACCCTACCCTGCTCTTACCCTGCCAGGAGATGGTGAAATACTCACCTGAGTAAACACCTCTTACCCTGCCAGGAGATGGTGAAATACTCACCTGAGTAAACACCTCTTACCTGCCAGGAGATGGTGAAATACTCACCTGAGTAAACACCTCTTTACCCTGCCAGGAGATGGTGAAATACTCACCTGAGTAAACACCTCTTACCCTGCCAGGAGATGGTGAAATACTGAGTAAACACCTCACCCTGCCAGGAGATGGTGAAATACTCACCTGAGTACACACCTCTTACCCTGCCAGGAGATGGTGAAATACTCACCTGAGTAAACACCTCTTTACCAGCCAGGAGATGGTAAGCTACTCACCTGAGTAAACACCTCTTAAGCTGCCAGGAGATGGTGAAATACTCACCTGAGTAAACACCTCTTAAGCTGCCAGGAGATGGTGAAATACTCACCTGAGTAAACACCTCTTACCCTGCAAGGAGATGGTGAAATACTCACCTGGGTAAACACCTCTTTACCTGCCAGGAGATGGTGAAATACTCACCTGAGTAAACACCTCTTTCTCAGCCAGCTGACAAAGAATGGGGAAAGTGTTTTTCCCCGCCTGCTGTAGACGAATTCCATCAGCAATGGTATCCAGATATTGAGGGGGATTCGGCCATAGACGCTCCCCTGATAAGAAAGGTGTTCACAACTTTACAAGGTTTCATAATAGTTCACAAACATTATTGCTATTTCGCTCTGTTTAGTTAAACTCTAGTAGCAACAAAATGGTGATGTCTAAAAAGTAGCTGTTGCAACAATGTTGATTATCAAACAGATTAAAATATCTGGAACCAATTTTTTAAATTTCATATTAGTGCATTTTTTTCAAAGTACAGGTCACATGTCACATATAATCAACAAATAGATTGACAATTGCATGCTTTTAACACCTTCAAGAGAATATGTATTTATATAAAGATGCTAATATCAGAGTCTATACAGCTATGAACATACATGTATATTGGTCTACAGTCTTTGCTTATATTCAATGTTAAATATGGACTTTATCCCAAGCAAGTGATATATTACGAGGCATATAAAGTATGTAATGACCAACATTTTGTAAATCTATAATATGATCAGGTAGTTAAAGCAATACATTTTGTGACATAATATTAGCAGCAGATTCTAAAAATATTCTTTGGAACATATTTTTCCATCACTGGTTAGAACATGTGTAGGAGGTTTCAGCAATTAAATGAACTTTTGAAAGAAACTATCTGAGTAATGGCCACAAGCAGTTCTTGATGTCAGTATGGTTGATGCAAGGGTACAAAGATTCAAAGATTCAAAGCATGGTCAAAATGTAAAAGTCACAAGAAAACTGAAACACATATGTTGAATTCCACTACTAACTACACATAAACCTAATTTACTTCAGGAACTACTTTCAGTGACTTTCCATACGTCATCGTCAGGGGAGAGGAGGGAAGGAGAGGAGAGGCAAGGTATATCACAGAGGTGGGTGGTTTAAACTAAGTATATTGCTTCACAGACGTGCTGGAACTAACTTTTACCAGTTCATAGTGGAACTATATTCTTACCAGCCTTAAGGCATTCTTCCATCATTTTTCCTTTGGGTTCTACAAGAAATACTGCAAATCAAAGAAATCTTAACTTAAAGGTCACATGCAACCAAAAAATCAAACATAATTAAAACACAATTATCACTTCTTCATGACATATAATATGCATTGCTGATTATGAAAAAACAAATAAACAAAATTATAAGCGAATAATCGCAAATCAAAAGTGCAATATTTTGTACTTGGGTTTACCTCCCTCGAAACGAAGCAGCCGGGATACTGAACCCAGTCAGAGCGGGTGGGTGTGCACTCAAGTGTAACGGCTGGTTCATTAGCAGATGGCGCCTTCATGGCTCATTGTGTGTGTATATATAGAGATGTTGGGTTTTGTAAATGCATGCTCATTTTTTGTGTATAACATTTTGCAATCAACAGACATCATAACATGTCATGTGTTCAACTATCACACCTGCCTGTCTGTGTAATTACATAATGTGACAGAGACCGAACTCGGGCCATAAATCAATGCGTTATGGTGTATAGCCTGATTGGTGTTAAGTTCAAATTGCATGTGGTCAGTGATCGCAGTTGTGTATTGAATATTGTCATTAGCAGACAGGCAGGCAGACACACAGGTGTCAATAAAACAAGACATTGAGTTTTGTCTGTGACAACGACATATCTATATCACAGTTAGAAATTGTGTCAACGATAAATAATGACATTGCTTTTAAGTATCGAACTGAGAAAGTGTCTCGGTAAGAAGAACGTGTGGTGAAATAGACAAATGAAATTATATAAACAGTTAATTTACTGTCATAACATATAAAAGCTCAGCCTGTGAGATATCAACAAAACATTAGAAAAATAGCTCACACCAAAGCCTTCACCGAAAGTATTCACCCGACAACCCGCTTCCAAGCTGCGCGAACCTATTTCACTGCGCACATGCTATGAGCGCAGCCCAGCTGTTGAAACCCGTTTTCCCCAGAAAAGTCTGGGGAAAATTAGTGAAACGTTTGAACTCCGATTTCTCGCGGTTTTTTTCATCGCGGTTTTTTTCAACTTTATAAGTTGAATTTGCATTTTTGACGCTTTGTTTCGGTATGTCCATACCGAAAGGTATCAGAATCTGCAAAGTTGTGTTTTACGTTGCATGTGACCTTTAAGAATCTAAGGAATGTACTGGATTTTTACATTTTTAACAAATTTTGAATAAGAAAATGGAATAATTTTTGTATATATTTTATTTGATATTACACAGTGAGTACCCAGCTGTCTACTGATAACTTGACAGATCTATTTACAACATAGAAGTGAGTTAGGCACGGCAAGCACTGATCAGAACATTATTAAATTCCATGGTGTACCTTTGATCTCTGGCTTGATGGCCTTGGCTGCTATGGCGATGCCTGACGACATTCCGCCACCACTGATCGGCACGAAGATGGCGTCCAGCTCTGGCACCTGCTCCAACAACTCTACCGCTATTGTACCCTGCAGGCAACAAAACAAGGAAATAATGATGTCAATACTTTCAACAAAATCCGCCATCACTAGTCAGTGTCACTGATGCTTTTCAAACAGACAATCTTTCATTCTGCCTCCTGTCCTGATGGAGTGAGTGAGTCCGGTTTTACGCCTCTTTTAGCAATATTCTGGCAATATCATGAAGCTGATACCATAAAATGGGCTTCACACATTGTGCCCATGTGGGGAATCAAGCCCAGCTCTTCGGCATGACTTCTGTTACTGATAGACCTTGTCATCATATTGTAGATCTAGTAAAAAGGGGCCCTACCTGCCCAGCTATAACATCGTAGTGGTCGTATGGAGACACAAACTCGTAGCCTTTTTCCGCAATCACTTTCTGGCAAACCGTCTCCCTGGAACCAGATTTTCAAATGTCCATTAGTTTTTGGTTAAAGAACAAAGAACAAAATTTATCATCATTGTTTTACTATCATCAATCACAATACGTCCCATCTCCTCGTCAAGGAGTACATACTTTCACACAAAATAGACTTACTATCAGGTTTTAACAGGGTCAGATATTGGGGCATCAGGGTAATGTCACCCGTTTGATTGTCATAAAAATATCTCCCCTTGGATTGTCATGACAACCTCACTTGCCAGAGGGTCATTTCAACCTCACATGTCAAAGGATCGTTACAACCTTTCATGTCTGTGGGTCATGACAATCTCACCTGTCTGAGCATCATGATAATCTCACCTGTCAGATGGCTGTGACAATCTCACCTGTCAGATGGTTGTGACCATCTCACCTGTCAGAAGGTTGTGACAATCTCACCTGTCTGAGGGTCATGACAATCTCATCTGTCTGAGGGTTGTGTCAGTCTCACCTGTCAGATGGTTGTGACCATCTCACCTGTCAGAAGGTTGTGACAATCTCATCTGTCTGAGGGTTGTGTCAGTCTCACCTGTCTGAGGGTTGTGACAATCTCACCTGTCTGAGGGTTGTGACAATCTCACCTGTCTGAGGGTTGTGACCACCTCACCTGTCAGATGGTTGTGACAATCTCACCTGTCTGAGGGTTGTGACAATCTCACCTGTCAGATGGTTGTGTCACCTGTCAGAAGGTTGTGTGACAAGTCTCACCTGTCTGAGGGTGACAATCTCATCTGTCTGATGGTTGTGTCAGTCTCACCTGTCAGATGGTTGTGACCATCTCACCTGTCAGAAGGTTGTGACAATCTCATCTGTCTGAGGGTTGTGTCAGTCTCACCTGTCTGAGGGTTGTGACAATCTCACCTGTCTGAGGGTTGTGACAATCTCACCTGTCTGAGGGTTGTGACCATCTCACCTGTCAGATGGTTGTGACCATCTCACCTGTCAGAAGGTTGTGATAATCTCACCTGTCTGAGGGTTGTGTCAGTCTCACCTGTCAGAAGGTTGTGACAATCTCATCTGTCTGAGGGTTGTGTCAGTCTCACCTGTCTGAGGGTTGTGACAATCTCACCTGTCAGAGGGTTGTGACAATCTCACCAGTCGGAGGGTCATGATAAGCTCACCTGTCTGAGGGTCATGATAAGCTCACCTGTCAGAGGGTTGTGACAATCTCCCCTGTCAGAGGATTGTGACAATCTCACCAGTCAGAGGGTCATGACAATCTCACTGTCAGAGGGTCAGAGGGTCGTGACAGTTTCACCTGTCAGAGTGTCATGACAATCTCACCTGTCAGATGGCTGTGAGCCACATGTGACCAGTTCAGCACCATATCCCTCTATTGCCGCCTTCTTGACTGCTGGGGCATATTCAGGGACAACCACCGCACTGGGGACCCCTGCCACGCCCGCAGCCCATGCCACAGCCTGGCCGTGGTTCCCGCTACTGTGGGTCACCTTGGTCACAAAATATCGATATCAATCCATTGACTTACATCAAGAACATCAATGACGCATTTGGGAACCGATGACATGTGTCAACCAAGTCAGCAAGCCTGACCACCCGATCCCATTAGCTGCCTCTTACAACAAGCATGCGATATTGAAGATCAATTCTAACCCGTATCTACACAGGTACCTGTATTGCTAGTGAATAATTGTGGCACAAAGGACACACACACATTGTTGACTCAGGTATGAAATATGTAAAACCAATGGTCGATAGTATAAAGCCCATGCATGACATCAAACTAATTGAGTAATAGTGATTCAATTGCATACTCTACACAAACTGGGAGGTTTCATATGCTTCACAAAGATACCTTACAATGACATGTTGGCAATCTTCTGCTGTTGTAGGTGGATGAAAGTAATCAGGAATAACCATTTCACAACTTACCACACCAGAGAAAGATGGTTTGTTTTCTTTCAAACTCAATATCTGAAAGAAAATGCACTTATTATGTTTCCTGCCTGAGAGTTCTAATGGGTGTGTATGTCTAGTTTAAAACAACTTAAAAAATCCTCTTGTCAATATCAGATAAATTAAATTTATCTTAAAACATAAACATTAAGGCTTAATAAAAATCTGCAGAGCATAATTCAAAATTTACTGTTTATTGTAAAAAAGCTAAATTGTTATAAAAGATGTTTATAACTATATATAATGAAACATCAAGACCAGGCAGACCATTTCAACAACTGCACTGTGAAAGATAAAATGTATCAAAAAGACAGACTTCATAGGTTTTCATTAAGTGCTTTCATATGTCTTATGAGCAAGTCATTGAGTCTGACCCAAGCTGATTCTAATTCTGATGAAGTTAAACAGATTAAGAACACATAATAAATAACTCATATTGGGAAACTGATTTCATAATACATAGATTTTCAGTTGAAGTTCTTAATTACTCTACACTCAGTTTAGCCATATGTATTTGATCATGTTAGTGATGCAGTTTTAAGCAATATTAACTCACTCACTTGATCATGTCAGAAGTTCAACTGGAAGGGAGACAATTTACCAACAGGTGGTTGGAACAACAATTATAGATCAGGGAATTATAACTTAAAACACTATTTGGTGACAGTTTTTAACCTTTTTTCAAATAATTTTTTTCCCAACTTCAAAATTTTACATTTACCAGTGGGCCAAAAAGAATCCTTATCCTATCTCTCTCTTAGGAACTTTTGAACTTCTTGAACAAATTGAGGCATCATCACTCAACAGTAATGTAACAGCTATAAACGTTGCGAGTCGCATGCTTAGATTCGACAGCATAATATCTGCCAATGCACATCTATTATCAGTGACAGTAAGGACATCAAGAAATTGATAGAACAGAACTGTATTGTTACACCCATCTGGAGTGAGTGAGTTCAGTTTTACGCCACACTCAGCAATATTCCAGCTATATAGCAGCGGTCTTTAAATAATCGAGTCTGGACCAGACAATCCAGTGATCAACAGCATGAGCATCGATCTGCGCAATTGTGAAGCGATGACATGTGTCAACCAAGTCAGCAAGCCTGACCACCCGGTCCCATTAGTCGCCTCTTACGACAAGCATGGGTTACTGAAGATCAATATTCTATGTGAGGTGAGGTGAGGTGAAATTGGGTTTTACGTCGTGCTTGAGAATATTTCGCTCATATGACGACATGCATGCGTGTGTATGTGAATGTGCGGCTGCTTGTACTAGCCCAGACTTAAGCTGGTTTTATAGTGCTAGCCCACTGAGATACCATGCTGCAGTGAAGCATGAATACCCCACTCAGACACATTATACTGACTCCGAGCCGACCAGTCCTTTTTGTACCCATTAATGCTGAGCGCCAGGCAGGGACCTACAAGTACCATATTTTAACGTCTTTTGGTATGACGCGGTTGGGGATCGAACCCGCGACCTTCCGCTCTCCGGGCGGACGCTCTAACCACTACACCACGGAGGCGGTCCTCAATATTCTATCCCGGACCTTCACGGGTGACACCCAACTGGAGGTCTTAATTGTCACTTGAAGTTTATTCAGTTTACTCTCTGCTGTTTGGAGGAAGCAAAAACAGTAGATTTTGGAAAGTGTGTATCCTAGATTATATTACTGCATTAAACAGCTGATCCAATCCATTTGTTGCTGTTCCTTTCAATATATTAAAAATATTCCCGCTTCCCCTAGAATTTTCCCACCTAGATCTAACTTTAAAATATTGACACATTATGGAAACAGAAAAAATCTTTGAAATTGGATTTTGAAAAAATGAACCTAATGACCTGGATTTTTTAAGGTCAAAATCTGTAATACCAGCCATTGACCTGGTTGTTTTGAAAAGACATTTATAAGCTCCCTTGTCTTTCACTAATTTTAGTCAGGTGAGCTAAAAATATAGTAACATTATTACTTACACAGATAAATCTTCAGATTAATTAAATCAGTCAACTGACAAGACGGAAAGTGACATGATAATAACATGACATACTTTGTAGAGAGAGGAACAATGTTGGAACGAGGTCAATGGAATTTAATGAATATTACTGAATTAAGTGCACCCCGGGCTTTGAATGACCCAGTTTTCTGCAAATTTTCTGCTTTGAAGAACAGTTTTCTTCCAGTTATGCTGTCAGCTGTAGAACTTGTGAAAACAGGTGTCTTGTGTATACTCCCTGCTATTCGTTGATGAGCTCTTAAAATATCAGAAAGTTTCACAGGTATTGTAGCTGCCATCGCACCTGTCTAGGACATTAGAGTGGTGTCCCTTGACTCGAAGGAAGTGACGTCATGTAAACAACATGGCGTTATCCGAGGGAACATTCCAAATGTGCTAGACTGTCTATGTGGTTTTTTTTACGTTACTCTTATTTATGTCTGTTTCAGCCTGTTTGACAAGGTATGTTGAATTATGATTTGATATCTCTTGAGTGACATGTCAAGATAGTTGTCATTTGCAGTTGTGCGTTTGAGAAACATTTTCAAGTGTCATAAAACAGGCATTATAATGACAGGAACGTTTCGTTATTGGCGTCAAATATTTTGTCTGCAATTGTGAGATGGCTTCCAATACAATGTTCCACATTTTGCATTAACATTGATTAAATCATCCTTATGTTAAGAGTGATGATTAACAGATTACCTGGACATCCAGGACCCGAGGAAGGCGTTTTTTTCATGAACACCATGCATATGTAAACATTTACACTAAGTTTATCATGAAACCTGTATGTTTGAAAGAGCTGGTAAGCATGAATTTCTTCATATTCAGAAGTCCAGACACTACTAATATTGATACGTTATTTTGAAGCGAGTCCCCAGATTGATATTCTATAGCTTGCGTACAATCAGACACCAGATTATATGGTCTCAGGTACAATGTGTGAAACATATTTCTGGTGTCCCTCTCCATGATATTGCAGGAATAAAAGTGGCGTAAAACCATATTCATTCATTCATATTCTACAGCGGCAAACCATAGCTGTTCAAAGACCCAGGGGTTCACCTAAGTTTCCAGGATCTCTTTTTATGATCTAACCAGGATAATGGATAGAGTGTCTTCCCAGGGAACTGACAATTTGATGGTAAAACAAATCTGGTGCTAAGCTTTAAATGGATGAAACAAATATAAGTCCGCAGGGTAGTCAGTATACCATATATACTTTACCTGTAATAATACAGGCAGCCATGCACCTGTGGAGATCCGGGTTAGAATTAGTCTTCAGCAGCCCATGCTTGTCATATGAGGCAATCAACAGGATCAAGTGATCAGGCTCATGGCATCGTATCCCCGTTGCGTAGATGGATGCTCATGATGTTGATCACTGGAATGTCTTGTCCCGACTTGATTATTTACAGACCACTGCCATACTTGAAATAGTGATGAGTGCATCATGTGTCATGAATCAGATCTACATTTTAATCCAAGTTAAGTCACTGGTAAACATGCTTATTTCCAGATTGTGATCTCTGACCATGGCTTACCTTTTGGGGAGCAAGGCCTGCATGGAAAGTCTTCGGAATGATGTACAAGACTTACAATGGGCAATTAATGATGTGTTTTCACGGACTGGACCAGTGTCATTTCCATCATGGAAGTTCCCAGACAAAAAGTCATGGGATCTTGACATTGACGAATTACTTGAACTGTATGACTATTCTGAAGACGAAGAAGAGAGACAGGTGGCACACATTGCACTGTATGAACTAGTGATTGACAGGTAAGTTTCTGTGTGTGTGATCATGGTGATGCCAAGTCATAATAACAGCTGGATACACCTTCCAATTGTACTGTATAATGTATTTGCTGCTGTTTTCACTGTTAATTCCTGAAAAAAATCAGTTACCTTGAAATGCTAAATACTTCATTGATTTATTGAATACACCATGAGGCAAATACAATATGTTATATAGTATATAGTAACGATTAAGACTTTTTATTCATGAATATTTTATGTTTAATATCAAGAAATTAAAATAACAAACATGTGACATAATTGCTTAAGTTGAAAGATTTAATGATATTTTCTTTAAAGCTAAAAGAGCAATTCATTGCAAACAATACTGCTTATAGCCCGAAAGCATGTCATTTCACACACACACACACACACACACACATACACGCGCACACACTGTTACTGTATGTTTGTTTCATGTACATCTAGAATGGTGCTGTTGATGCAGTCAATGGGGAAATATACCGAGCAGCTGATGGCCAGTGTGAAGACAGGGGGAGAAAACTCCTCCACCTCTAGCAGTTCTGTTGGCCTGGTTGTGAAGAAGTATTGGAACAGGCTGATTCAGCTTCACACAGTTGTACAGCAAACACAATCAGAGGTACTTGTTTGAATGTCATTCAGCTGAGAAACTGATTGCAATGATGCTATTGTTTTCCACCTTGAAATTCACATTTTGTTTCAAAACACAAGACAGATTTGTGTCTCAAAGCCATACCAGTCAAAGACTTGCTTATGATCAAATCACTTTGTCCATGGTGAAAAAATAGGTCTGTTGTTTAATCCTCGATCAGTCTTACCTAAGCAGATGCTACTTGTTGTTTCCCTGTCTGGAGTTCGGCATGGTGGGGATAAAACAATGTGTGTGGGCAGGGTATCCTTGTTAAACTCAGTAGGTGTACTCAGTAGGCTTGTGGTATAACACTGTCTTGAGAGCGGATTGGTAGTAGCAGCCACACACATCTGCATGAACAGCACTAAATAAGTGCAGCCACAGTCTTCATACTATAGAAATGATATAATGCAAATATTATAAAAGCCAACCTCAGAATGCTTGAGGATGACATGTTCTCCCCTGTATTTCAAATGTTGATCATATATATTTACATCATTTTAACTTCACTTCATTCTGCAGTGTTGAGTGTCTGCTCATGCGGCTGTGGCAGGAAGATCTCATATCAGGCTCACAGTTTCAAAATTTGCATGGCTCCTTATGGCCTGCAGATAATACTTGTTAATTGCTGCAATAAGGATACATTTGTGACTTTAGTCCTGAAGAGTTCAGTCAAGGCCTACAGATTTTATTGCCCATGGGTCATAATGGCAGTGTTGTAGTTTGTAATATATCACTCACTGATGTTTCTGCTCCTGTTTTATACAGAAGAATACTGCAGTGTATTGTGTTAGGATAAGTATATTGATGTTTCAAATATTGAATATTCAAATTGTTTTAATTTTATTTAGTACCCTATGGTTCTGTTTTTCAGAATAAATCCAAAAGTCGAAAATATTCTGATTTGGAGAACACAATCAGTAAACTAACAGATGAGTTAAGTCAACTCCAAAATGGAACTTCTTACCAGCGAGGACTGACACCTCCAAAGACACCAGGGTTTGGCGGACTTATCCCTCCAAATAATGCAGATCTTGCTGTTATGAGGGGAGAATCCGTGACTTCTATAAATGATGGAGAGATTTCCAAAGATGCTTGTAATAAATCATCACAGACAATTGAGACAGTATTTGTACCTTGTGAATCATGTCATGCAGTTCAGAAGTGTTTTCGAGAAGCCGGTGATGTTATTATCAATACCTGCCAGTCTCAGAACATGCCCTCTTCACTGAAGAAATTCCGAAGTCAAGTCGTTGATGTTGACTGGTTGAGTTCCAACGATGTGAAACGATGGACTGCAGAGCAGAACAAAGACATTGCTCGTATAAGTAAACACGTGGATCAGCTTGCTGCAACAATCGGTCCACTGCAAGAAGATGTTGCAGGGTATGTAAAAGAAAAGAGAAAGATGAATGAAAAAGTGGTTAAAGCAGAAAAGGATTTGAAGACGGAGCGAGAGACACAGTCTGCAGTCAGACGCCAGTTTGAGGTGAAGGTCACGGAACTGGAGAAGCAGCATGCAGAGATGTTGAGTCATGTGACCCAAGAGAAGGAGGAACTGAAACAGTCGCGGTCAGCACTGGAGGCAATGTTGGCGTGGCTGAAGGAGGAGCTGCAAGAGCAGCAGCAGCAACTGCAGCAGTTGGGTGAGGATTGACACTTTTTCTATCTGATACATATCCTTTCTATTTGGTTGATAAGTGATCTCAGGCATTGTATTCCACTGTGTAGAGTTGCTTCCTTGACCATACCAGGATCTGCTGTGGGTTTAAACCCTTTCATGACAGTGATTTGTATTTTGTGTACCTGTTCCCAGCTGATTTAGGGTCATATCTCAATAGTATATATGAATCCTTCCTATAGACAGCTAGGTTTCCTGTTCCAAGTCACTCAGATCTGGCACAATTGTTGCTGAGTGTTCATACTAATAGTTTCACACAACCATCTTGTTCCTGGCCGCATAACATCTCACCAAAACACAACCATCTTGTTCCTGGCCTCATAACATCTCACCAAAACACAACCATCTTGTTCCTGGCCTCATAACATCTCACTAAAACACAACCATCTTGTTCCTGGCCTCATAACATAACATCTTGTTCCTGGCCTCATAACATCTCACCAAAACACAACCATCTTGTTCCTGGCCTCATAACATCTCACCAAAACACAACCATCTTGTTCCTGGCCTCATAACATCTCACCAAAACACAACCATCTTGTTCCTGGCCTCATAACATCTCACCAAAACACAACCATCTTGTTCCTGGCCTCATAACATCTCACCAAAACACAACCCTCTTGTTCCTGGCCTCATAACATCTCACTAAAACACAACCAATTCATACTGGATCCTTCCACAAGCATGTAGGCCGCTCCATACATCCCTGTGCATTCCCCATTGTTGTCCATTTTAAAGACTTATTCTCACATGATTAATGTCCAACTCTGATTCCTAGCCAGTTTTCCACTCCAAAGAGTACGACCAGTTTGGGGAAGGCACAGGGCTCATCTAGAGTGTGCTGCTTACTTTAGGAACTGTTGTTAAATAATGGATGGTGCTCTAGAACCAAGAATCTGTAAGCTGAATCAATAGTACTTTTGTGTGTTCTGAGTGACTGTAACTGCCTCTGTGGTGTAGTGGTTAGAGCGTCTGCCCGGGAGAGAGGAAGGTAGCGGGTTCGATCCCCGACCGCATCATACCAGCAGACGTTAAAATATGGTACTTGTTGGTCCCTGTCTGGCGCTCGGCATTAATGGGTACAACAAGGACTGGTCGACTCGGAGTCAGTATAATGTGTCTGAGTGGGGTATTCATGCTTCACTGCGGCGTGGTATCTCAGTGGGCTAGCACTATAAAACCAGCTTCAGTCTGGGCTAGTACAAGCAGCCGCACATACACATACACATGCATGCACGTCGTCATATGAGCGAATTTTTTTCAAGTACGACGTTCAACCCAATTTCACCTCACCACCTCTGAGACACTGTGGTAAGCATGATAAGCAGGTACATGTACTATTTCCTGTTTTCAGCCATAAGTCTGTGATACTAGAACTCTTAGTTCTTACGTTTCCTTCTTTCCTTTAAGATTTTGTTTGACTGACATTTGTTTCTTCTTAGAAAATACGAAACAAGACCTTCAAAGTGAGGTTGATAGAAACAAGGCAACGTCCAGTGAAGTTAGTTCACTAGAGTCGGAGGTCAGGACCTTGAAGACGCAGCTGTCAGGTATCAATGAGAAGCTGGAGAAGACTCATCAGGACCTCAGTAAGGAGCAAGCAAAGAACAGGAGTGTGGCTAAACATGGCCAGGTAAGGGGAGCTGTCTGATGGCAGATTTTATAGTTATACATAGTTATCTGTAACGCCTTATAACTGTAATTGTGCCATGTCAGGTATCTCTACAAGTTCAATGCCAGCTTTGTGTCAGTCCCTCCAGGGCAAGCAGGATGCCCTGCTACAGAGAGTCGGGGACCTGGACCAGGAGAATCAGGACCTGAGGGATCAGGTGTCGCTGTTGGAGGAAGAGAAGGAAGCCATTGAGGAGTCGCTCACGGCTGCCAAGACAGAAGCTCAACAACTGGACCGCAAGATCAAGGAGAAAGAGGTGGGTCCCATTACTGGCAGTGTCTGCTGATAATATCAGTCATGTTACAGGTTGTGAATTTTGTGATAGAAAAGCTGAATTCTTAGATTTGTACTAAGTTGCACATACAACATATCAGAAAACTCCATGATATCGCTCTAGAGTCACTACTAGACACATGCAGCTTCTGGGGACTTTGGAACAGTCAGAGTCTTGTCACGCTTTGTTTCTGGTCTAATACTGATGTATTCGGGGAGATGTGAAGAGGCTCATGCATATTGTAGTGCTTGTTTGACTCCTGTTAGTTTTCATGGGCTCATTGTCTTTCTGACTGTAAGTCACACAGCAATATTTGAGATATATGATGACAGTGTCTGAGCCTGACGATCTACTCTTATGACAAACATGGGTGGATGAAGACACAGCAAGTTGAAATATTACATTTGAATATGTAGACGATAGTTTCACAATGAGGATAATGTCCAGTGATGTGTATTGCCAATGTCACTGACCAAGTGATTTGTACATCCAGGGGGTGATAGAGAGCCTGAACTCAGAGAAGACAAGCCTGAAGAAGAGCATAGCTGACACACAGGGCATGATAGAGAGACTGGAGAAGTCTCTGGAGGAAGCCAAGGAGAGAGAGAGGATGATTATAGAGTACCCTGACCTCAATGGTCCTGTCAACCCGGACTATCAGGGTAGGTTACCATGGTTACATAGAGACAGTTGTCTGTTGATTGTCACCTTAAGTTGGACCTGTTGAAGTTTTAGGTTGAAAAGTCTGATTGTTGACAGTAATGTTTGTTCTGGAATGATAAGTGATTGCTATCTTTGGTGTGCTGTAAGTACTGTACAATTGTACCATTGATATCATGATTGTCATACAGTGTTGTTAAGAAAAAGGCATGTTGTAGGTACAGGTGATATCACCAATAGTTGGTTAAAGGTGCTGGGAATATTGTGATGGACATGCAAAATCAGGTGATATCATGATAGACATGTAGGTACAGGTGATATCATGGACAACTTTCAGGTAAACTGATATCATGACATACGTGTTGTAGGTATCGTTTGGGACATGTTACAGGTACAAGTGATATCATTAGGGACATGTCACAGGTACAAGTGATATTAGGTACAGGTTGCAGGTACAAGTGATATCATTAGGGACATGTTGCAGGTACAAGAGATATCATTAGGTACAGGTTGCAGGTACAAGTGATATCATTAGGTACAGGTTGCAGGTACAAGTGATATCATTAGGGACATTTTGCAGGTACAAGTGATATCATTAGGGACATGTTGCAGGTACAAGTGATATCATTAGGGACATGTTGCAGGTATGAGTGATATCATTAGGGACATGTTGCAGGTACAAGTGATATTATTAGGTACAGGTTGCAGGTACAAGTGATATCATTAGGGACATGTCACAGGTACAAGTGATATCATTAGGTACAGGTTGCAAGTACAAGTGATATCATTAGGGACATGTTGCAGGTACAAGTGATATCATTAGGGACATGTTACAGTACAAGTGATATCATTAGGGACATGTCACAGGTACAAGTGATATCATTAGGGACTTGTTGCAGTACAAGTGATATCATTAGGGACATGTCACAGGTACAAGTGATATCATTAGGGACATGTTGCAGTACAAGTGATATCATTAGGGTACAGGTTGCAGGTACAAGTGATATCATTAGGGACATGTGACAGGTACAAGTGATATCATTAGGTACATGTTGCAGGTACAAGTGATATCATTTGGGACATGTTGCAGGTACAAGTGATATCATTAGGGACATGTTGCAGGTACAAGTGATATCATTAGGGACATGTTGCAGGTACAAGTGATATCATTAGGGACATGTCACAGGTACAAGTGATGTCATTAGGGACATGTTGTAGGTACCGGTGATATCGTGACTGACATGCAGAACCAGGTGAGAGCCAACTCCATGAGGATACAGGTGCTAGAGGACCAGAATGAGGGACTCCGGAACTCCATCACAAAAGTTCTCACCATGACTCAGGGCAGGGAGCCTCCAGGCAAACACCAGCAGGTAGGACAAACTGGAATATCATCATACAAGTGGGTACAAGTGGGTACAAGACAAGGGGTGATGGATGTCTCATTTAACATTGCTCAACAGATATTGGGGGATGTTTTGGGGGGTCAGAAACCATTATTTATCTGTATATTTCTATTATGACACATTATTAGCATGTGATGTCGCTGGAAAGTATTTGTCAGCTGTACTACTGTGGAAAATGCCAGCAATTAATTCTAAAAGTGAAGTATTAGGTGGAAGTTGTTGTAGTCTCTTAGCTTCCGGTATGTAAAAGAAAGAGAGAATGTTTCATGCAGACTTGGCTGTGTAAATATGGATTACTCACAGTCAGGGGTGGAAATAACCCATTGCCCGACGTCCGAGTCCAGTGTTTTTTTCTGTCCGGCAAGCAAATTTGTATATCACGCTGTACCGGTGTCCAGTTAACTTTCCAATGTTTATTATGTTGTTTATTTAAAAAATCAGCAAGAAAACGGTTGGTATAGTGGGAAAATAATCAGGGCAAGTGACTTTACATGTGCCACTGTACCGGAGTACACTAGCAAATTTAAACTTATTTCCACCCCTGACAGTGCAAGAGCTTCCAACCCCAAGAGAGTAAAAACTTGAGATAACAGGGATCGTGGGCTGCATGACTCAGTCAGGTCCAGAGTGGAACCTGGTGGGGGTTCTGTAATTGCAAATTCCCTTCTCAGAAAAGTCACTGAAAACGATGTATTCAGACATATATGTGTGATTTTATGTTGTCAAAATGTGCATGTATAAATACATTTGGTAATAAAAGCATGAGTCTCAAGCCAAAGGTGAGATAGTTAGCAGGTATGCAGAGGATAATACTGAAATGAACTGTTGTACTCTCAGGTCTCGGGACCGGCTCCCCTGTGGAAGACCGAAGCACTGAGTCAGTACAGAGAAGACACGTCCCACGCAGACAGGTGAGAGGCAGTCAGTCACTGACCTTTGTCTTGTGTTGTCAACAATGTCATGATCATATCACCAGAGCATACCACATACTGATATTGAGCTTATGACAAGGACCCCTACCATGAAGATCCGGGTTAGAAATGGTCTTCCGCAATCCATGCTTGTCATAAGAGGTAACTGAAGGCATCTGCTGGTGAGCTTTGCTGACTTGGAGACCGTTCATAATTTATGATTAGGGGGGTAATGATGATTTTAAGGGTTGTCACCCATTTTGTTGTGGGAAGGTAGGTAGGGTACGGGTCATCATTTTGTACGCATGTACTAGTGGGGGTCTGCAATTTTGTACATAAAAATATTAAAAACCTTTGCTTAAAAATTAACTATTAACAATTATGAATGGTCCCTTGGTTGATGTAGATAACCTACCCCACTGGGTGGATTGTAAACTAAGGCTTAGTCTCTGAATATATATAATTTTGATAGTAACAAACAGGCCCATTTATATTGCATAGGAGCCCTAGGGAGACCAGAGATTCAGAACCTGAAGAAATCTAGACTTGCTTTATTTAGGGCTTTAGCACTGCAGAGAGGGATTGGCAGTAGGGAAATTAATGTGGTTCAGGGACTGTGAGACAGACTAGGTGGATTGATGCTCACAATATCCTTGAAATAGTCAGGTATTTACACACCCGGGGCCTGATCCACAACATGTTCATAGCTCTGTGTCAATCATAGGACTGTGACAAACTATACAGGTACGATACCTCGTAACATTACAAACTATACAGGTACGATACATTGTAACATTACAAACTATACAGGTACGATACCTCGGAACATTACAAACTATACAGGTACGTGCGATACCTCGTAACATTACAAACTATACAGGTACGATACCTCGGAACATTACAAACTATACACAGGTGCGATGCCTTGTAACATTACAAACTATACAGATGCGATACCTGGTAACATTACAAACTATACAGTGCGATACCTCATAACATACAAACTATACACCTCGTAACATTACAAACTATACAGGTACGTACGATACCTCGTAACATTACAAACTATACAGGTACGATACCTCGTAACATTACAAACTATACAGGTACGATACCTCGTAACATTACAAACTATACAGGTACGATACCTCGTAACATTACAAACTATACAGGTACGATACCTTGTAACATTACAAACTATACAGGTACGATACCTCGTAACATTACAAACTATACAGGTACGATACCTCGGAACATTACAAACTATACAGGTACGATACCTCGTGAACATTACAAACTATACAGGTACGATACCTCGTAACATTACAAACTATACAGGTATGTACGATACCTCGTAACATTACAAACTATACAGGTACGATACCTTGGAACATTACAAACTATACAGGTGCGTGCGATGCCTCGTAACATTACAAACTATACAGATTGCGATATGCCTCCGGATTACAAACTACAAACTATACTATACAGGTACGATACCTTGTAAACATTACAAACTATACAGGTGCGATACCGTAACATTACAAACTATACAGGTAATGCGATGCCTCGAGAACATTACAAACTATACAGATGCGATGCCTCTGAACATTACAAACTATACAGGTGCAATACCTCGGAACATTACAAACTATACAGTGCGATGCCGCACGTGAACATTACAAACTATACAGGTACGATGCACCGAACATTACAAACTATACAGGTGCGATGCCTTGGAACATTACAAACTATGCAGATGCGATGCACGGAACATTACAAACTATACAGGTGCGATGACCTCGTGAACATTACAAACTATACAGGTACGATACCTCGGAACATTACAAACTATACAGGTACGATACCTCGGAACATTACAAACTATAGGCCTGTGGCCTCTTCAGTACGGAATAAAATCTCTCTACTCTCCTGAGCACTGAGTAGGCTAATTAAGCTGTTCCATTATTGCTGTGTGGTGAGGGTAATTAATCCCTCTACTCATAATGGACAAATTGATATAAGTATCTAAGTATATTTTCAGATATTATCAAGAAAATCAGAACAATAACAGCTCCAGCAAATCTGTGACTCCCGAGAAAACCCCACCCAAGACAGCCATCAAACCCAAAGAACAGACCTTTGTCTTTGACCATAACAAGACTAAATCAGATGGAGAGTTTCTGGTAACAAAGTCATCTCGACCCAACAGTGCCGTCAGACAGAAGGATGGCACAAAACAAGGGAGACCACCCAGTGGAAAAGGTAACCCAGGCAGAGTTATGGCCCCTGCCAATGCAACCAGCATTAGTGCATACATCCAGATGAAGAAGAGTGGGTACCATAACAACCAAGACAGTAGGGGTAAGGAGGAATTTCCTTGCTTTATACCATTTTAATATTGTATGACTTATAGAGAAATATTGCTTGTGGAAGCTTGTGGGGTGCTATGAACTGAAACTCTGTCTTGTTTCCTTTCCTGCTATCATCCTCACGACCGCCTCTGTGGTGTAGTGGTTAGAGCGCCCGCCCGGAGAGCGGAAGGTCGGGGATCCCCCCCATCATACCAAAAGATAAAATACGGTCTTGTTGGTAGTGCATTAATGGGTACAACAAGGCTCGGCTCGAGTCAGTATAATGTGTCTGAGTGGTGTATTCATGCTCCACTGCGGCATGGTATCTCAGTGGGCTAGCACTATAAAACCAGCTTCAGTCTGGGCTAGTACAAGCAGCCGCACATACACATACACACGCATGCACGGCGTCATATGAGCTAAATATTCTCAAGCACGACGTTAAACCTAATTCCACCACCACCACCGCTATCATCCTCACAGGCCCACCTCATTATCTTAGTGATTTGCTTGTGTGTTTGGTTGAATGTTTACTTGTTCTCTTATGATGTGCTTCTTAAAAGAAGTTTTCCGCTGATTTTATTTCAAATTTATCAATTCTACACCACCCTGAACCCCCCAGTCGATATAACTACAATAACACAGAGCTACAGATAACTTTTTAGGTCACTGAGTTATACACTCGCTTGTGTTAATCTCAATTGGGTATCCTAATTTTCCTTTGAGTAACCAAATAAATTCTACTCACCTCCCTCAAACTCAATTGGGTATTTTGCCATTTTCCATTGATTTAAAAAATATAAGATATAGTTTAAATGTTAGTGTTTGTTATGTATATTTGATATGTAATATGAAAAATGATAAGAAAGACTGCAAGTTGCCAAGTTCATGTCCTGAAATAGAACCTCTCAATATACCTCAGGTATTTTATCTATCCACCCATACGTAAGCAAAGATTTGACATTTTTGTGTGTACGCATGAAAGATCATATTTATTGAGTATTTACAAAAATTCAGGCGTACTTGTACACAATAGACTTAATAGGAATTGAGTTTTCACATAAATATTTGCGTAATTTACGCAGATGCGCAGCTTGTCTATACCTCTGATAACATTTCAGCTGAAATTTGATTTGTTGTCATCCCTGATATATTGTTTCCTGAGGGTGCCATCCCCTTTTGTTATGCTGGATGCCATGGTCTTTTATCGTGTTTTCAGGATGCGGCAGTGTAGCACGTTTGATGCCACAAAATGTTTGCCTAAAGTTTTCTTTCTTGTCTTTTCATCTTTTGCATTGAGTGAAGAATAAATATAATATTTCGTCCTTAGCTAATGAGCCTGCATTGCCAGCAAATTAAGTGGTATGCCAGATGCCTCAAATAGGGGTGGATGTGGCATGCTGTTTTCTCCTTGTTTTTAAGAATAAATGGATGATGGCATTATGACATTTTACTGGCCAAGTGTATGATTGAATTACAAACTATGAATTATCATAAACCTTTGCAACTCTGCTTCTTTGAAAAGTGATGGATATTTTCATACAGTGTCTGGAGATCATTTTCATGAATTATTCTCATTGTATTTGTTGGTACAAAAAAACAATCAGCTGAAAAGAATGTTAAAAATATTCCATGCAATGCTTTTGTGTTACAGTCAGTTGTGTGATTATGCTTTGAAACTGTTTCCTTTCTTCTTCTCAGCTGCACAACCGCCACCTTCTGGTAAAGCAAGAAGCCAGTCAGGGGCAGATAACTCTGGTTACTCCCCTCCAGACATGTTTGTGTGTGCTGACTGTGACAAGATGTACAGCAAGCAGAGGGATCTGGAAATACACAAGAGCTACTGCACAGGGGGGCACTAGCTGGGGTGTTCAGGATTATCATGAAAATGGTTTTATTTTTTTTAAAATGAACCATTTTCAAATTATTGCTACATTGTGAAAGTAGTGCTATGAGACTCTGTTATAGAAATTACTATGCTAGCAGGTAATTATATTTTTGCAGGTTACCATTACTTTACAAAGCACAAACTACGGGGATTGGAGATTTTCTTTGGGGGGGATGTTTAATTTTTAACAGTTTGCTTTATTCAAAATGTTCAAACAATTGCTACATAATGTAAATAGTGCCTTGATGTTCTCTTAATTTTAAAAAATCTCTTCATGGGTAGATTTTATTTTACTGAGGCACCATTTAGCCTCATAGATGTAATAACTGAACATTTTATCTATTTTTTAATCAGTTGCAAGTATAATATTTTTCTGACTAAATTATGCTCTTATGTCATGTTGACAAGTAATATGCCTGTTTAGGTGAAAGGCCTGTGGTTTGAATCTGATCTCAAGACTGCTTCTTATGTTGTAGGATATATTGAGCACTTATCGATATTGTCCATTTCACCCTGTTCATTAATACTGCCGTTGTTCACAGAAGTCCTAGCTATTCACAAGCTGACATTCCTCCTAGGTGCTACACTGGAACACAGATCTGTTCATGTTTGTTTCTTCAGTTGTTTTGTTGTAACTGAAATCAATTTAATTTCATGATAGTCAGTGTGCTATGTGTTTATAGTCAGTGACCTATTTTGCATACAGAGAATCTTGCACTAGTCGACCAAACTGTTGAAACAACTTGGCAAGCTTTAGAGTTTTACAATATTGTAGTCCATTGCTGATACATATGATATTGACAATACAAGGATGAGATACTATTATCAACAGAAATAATTCTTGTTCAGTTTGTAAACGGTCCTAACCAGTGTCTTGAGTGTGAGAAGTATAGTAACCTGCTTCAGTGGTATAGAGATTAGTGATGTCATTTGATTGTGTTGTCATTGATGTCATGATGCTGTTTCATTGTAGCGATATTTCCCAGAATCTATAGTGATCTCTCCCATGTGATATCTCCTGTTGAAGCCACTTTGGGTCTCACAACATTATCCAGTTAATCAGATTGTACAGTTAACTGGATATCATCCAAATATACATTCCACAAAAAATAGAAATGCTCATTGTGAACTGCACAGTTCTGGTTGTCATGGTTATCAGACCAGGAGGGTTTTACTGAATTCATGTCTTTTTCTATCCATTGTAGATAGTTTTGTCAGTGTCATAGTGTTTTTAAAAAAACAGGCTAGGGGCGGTGGGGTAGCCTAATGGTTAAAGCGTTGGCTCATCATGCCGAAGACCCGAGTTCGATTCTCAACATGGGGAAAAATGTGTGAATCCCATTTCTGGTGTCCCCCGCCGTGATATTGCTGGAATATTGCTAAAAGTGGCATAAAACTAAACTCACTCACTCACTAAAAGAGGCTATGTCCTCTTGCACTGGTTCCACTATAGTGTATGGATCCACAAGATTCAAGCCCTGTTTTATTTTTCAGATACTTTTACTCACTGTATTGTTTAATTTTATTTTTACTGGGTCATTAAGTTTCGTGTCCTTTTTGCGGTTGATGATAGTGTTAGCCAAAGGGTAATTTAACACCAAAATTAGCTGTAAGATACAGGGTCACAACCAGTGTCATTACTATAGCCTTGTTTAATTGTATCTTGTGGCTTCTGATATTTACTTGTGTTTTGCATTACGTTGCATTACATTCCATTACAAATCCGTCTCATTCCATACTAAGAGCATAACTTGATTCTTATTGACTTCTATTTTGATGAGACTCTTTTTAGCTGAAAAATATATTTGGGTTTGTTTGAGGCCTGCTACCTCACACAAGTATGGGTATGAAATGCCATTTTATGTGATTGCTTTCCCACTTTAAACAACTCACATTGTGTACACAGAAACCTGACGTGCACCTTTAATTGGTACATAGTTTCATATAAGGTAAAACAGGTGATATCTGTAACCGAAGCTTATGGTGTGTACACATTCCACTGACACATGTAGATCGTAGAAGGAAAATCCTCTTGTTGAAAATGTTTGTTGTGTTTCATTACATAACTATCACCATACATCAGAATCATCGTTCGAAATAGCTACTGGCCCGCTAGCTGATTGTGAATCAGGCCAGTAATATATTGTTAAAGCTTTCCCAACTGGCCAGCTAAAAATCTCAGATAATTTGTTCTGTATTAAAGAGAGAAAAAAGAAATCTTAGTTTTTCTGTTTGTTTGATTTATATTGTTTCCAAGGGGCGACAATAACCTACCATCTTTAAATACGGTACCAAACATCACACCAGTTCCGAAAAATGTGCATTTTGATATTGTATGAAGTATGATGTAGGCTAGCAACATTCTTACTTTACCAGCCCTCCTGGCCAGTGACATTTCAAAATTAATTCATACACTGATCAGAATACCTCTGAAGGCAAGCTTTAAACAATGTCCAGACATACCACATTCCTGACAAGAAACACAAAGTGACACCATTGTTTTCTGGTAGAGTCTCTTGCCCCAAAGTCAACACAAGATAAAACATATTGTCATTAAAACATAACATCATTTATGGATGAAGAAAATCTTGTATTTATGTTTTATAAGTTTATGCATTTTAGAGTATGAAATTTCCAATAAACATTCTGTGCACATTCTGTAATTGATTTTAAATGTTAGAGAGGACTCTTTTCAGCATAAAACTATTTTCAAGGACGATTTACCAAGGCAACAACTGCACAGAATTTAAGAAATGTTTACCTTTTGTAGGTGTAGTTAAATTTCAGTTTGGAAAGATTATTTTTTATATATGTACACGAAAAACATCTTACAATTTAGAAACATTTCATGGATGTATAATTTCTGTGCAAGTATTAAAATGATAATCTATATAATGCGACTATATGATGGCCTGTGAGAGGTATACTGCCTTACTGAAGCTACTGTGATACTTTATAATACAAGCTCTAACATTCTGACAGTATTAGGTACATGTACTTATGATCACCCAATATTGATGAAGTATTAATGATCACATATGTATGACACTCAAGATTTACAACCATTAAAAGCTTTATGACTGTCTTAAACATAAAAGTGAGCAAGGTGTTCTGATAACAAGGTATCAATACCTACAAACAATATGGTATTATAGTCAAATGTATTTCTACAGTGCTATGTACTTGTTAAACAAATATATTTTCAATCTAATGATACATATTTAGTCAAATAATCATAGCCTCAATTCATCACTAGTTTGTAAATGCCAAGGAAGTTATTTCCGTATACTTAGGTTAAGGTTAGTTATTTGTCAACTGAAACATTACAAATCCTCACAAATCTGAATTAAATCAGGCCAGGTTTGATTCGTGGGTACAGTGTAAAGCCCATTTATTATGTTCTCCCGCGGTGATATTGCTGGAATATTGCTAAAAGCAGCCTAAAACTAAACTCAGTCAGTCAGTCAGTAATATGATATTGCTAGAATATTGCTCAAAACAACTCACTCACCCACAATAATATGAGTTTGATGGACACCAGTTTGATTTGTTGAAATATTAAATAGAGCTCATGTCACTAAACACTGATAACAATACGTATGTTATATATGTTGTATTTATTGACAAACTATTCTTTGTGAAGGTGAGCTACATGAAATATGCTCATCAGTTGATGAACCGTCCAACTGTGTCTTATATCAGGTGTCTTAAAAGCAAATGTTACTAAATAGTGTTATTTATGTCCTTTATATGTTAATAATTATTTAACTCAAAGAATAAATTTGTATACAAATGATTTTGAATTTCGTTGTGATGTGTTTTTTCATACAACTTGTGTATTTTGATGAAAATGACACCTGACAGATGTCCCATCACAAACCGCAGCCATTTTATCTCAGTCTGAGGGAGGGTCTCAAAGCCTACAGAAGACTTTATTGGAAGTGGAATACCGACACTACTTTGTGTGTGTGTGTGTGCTTCAAAACGCTCAGGGGCGGTGGAGTAGCCTAGTGGTTAAAGCGTGCACTCGTCACCCGGAAGATCCGAGTTCGATTCCCCACATAGGTACAATGTGTGAAACTCAGTGTTGGTGTCCCCCGCCATGACATTGCTGGAATATTGCTAAAAGAGGCGTAAAACTAAACTCACTCACTCACTAACTCACCCAAAACGCTCAGGAACCAGATGGAATATTATATGCCACAGTGTACACCATGTATTTAATCACAGCATAATGCTTAGATCACAAGTATAGTTTCTATTTATAATGGATCTAATGTCAAAACAACTCTGACAAATTGTTTGAAACGGCCTACCTGTAGAAACTAGTTTGGATGAAAATGGTCGAGGTGTAGTGAAAAGATATCAACTATCAAACGGAATAAGGAAGTTAATTTGTTTTTTTTACAATTACACCGTACGTCGTATAGTTTTGGCATTTGTACATTGCATACATCTTCACACCCCTTTATGATAAAAAATTGCCACGCTTGTATTGTAATGGATTAAAGCGGAATGTCAGTGCTTTTATACCCTGATCATCCTGAAATATGGTACCACTTCTAGAACCCATTTAAAAGACGATAATGACGGTACTTATTTTTACCCTGTCTGTCAAATAAAACAAGGCTGGTGGGCCTGAGCTCAATACACTGCGTGTAGGCTTGGTATACATATGAATCTCAATGTTTGTCAGGACTAATACAAGCACGCGTACGCACGCACGCACGCTCGCAATGCAATGACCTTCAAGCAACGTTGAACTGCCATTTCACCCCACCGCAGACCCATGGAGATCCGGGTAAGAATTGTCTTCAACAACCCATGCTTGTACACAAGAGGCGACTAACGGGATCGGGTGGTTAGGCTTGCTGACTTGGTTGACACGTCAGTTGCGTAGATCAATGCTCATGATGTTGATCACTGGATCGTCTGGTCCAGACTTTATCATTTACAGGCAACCGTCATAGAGCAGGGAAATTTCTGAGTGCGGCGTAAACCAACCAAAAAACAAACCCCCCACCTCATGTTAAAACGACACATGCTTTTTGATATGACCCCCTTCTGAAGCATATTGATGTCACGAGGCCCAATGGGAGTGTCTCGTCGGGATAGTCACTGTCAGTCTTTGAAGTTGGGGATCTAGTCATGCCGCCCGTCGGTGCCAATATAGCCGCGAGATGTTGTGATCACCAAGGGGTCCTGCTGGGTCAAAGTCACCTGCACTAAGGTCAAGGTCTCGACTTTGAAGTTTTAACATCTCCATAAAACATGTCTGTGAAAAACGATTAAGAAACAAGCTATGAAAGAAAATGTTACATTTAAAGCATTCCTTCATGTATAGAGGTTAGGTTACATGTTATGCTAATTAACAACGTAGCTACAAGCAATCTTTTACAAGCATAGATATCTTGTAATTAAACTTTATTAATGGATGTAACTGATAATATTATTTAAGCAGGCGCGTAGCAAGCCAGTTTTTTCGTGTAAGCCCGATACATACATGTATTAAATAGCATTTAGGGCTTGCCCAACCATTTTAGCAACAATCATGTGTAAGCCCGGGCTTTTTTCATAATGGTAGCTACGCCCCTGTTAAGTTTTTAACATATATTTGTAAAGTAACCATTATAACACTGCTTCAACAAAACACGGTTCCCCAAGACGATGTGGTCATGTTTGTTGCAGTAGGCTACTAGTGGGATCACTGAGTCAGGCTCACCCGATATTTGTCATGATTTACATAGGGTCGGCACGTAAGTGATGGTCTGACATGCTTAATTCTGTAAATGTTGAAATATTCACACAAACATGTTGCTGAAATAACACTCCAGAAGTGGTTATGAATTACTTATCGATTAGGTGTTTTATAACTTTGAGAGGAAAGGAAACAGTGCACTGACTGGAATGTCTGAAGCTCCCCGCCGCTGTAATTTGACGTAACGCTCACTAAAAAAATTTCGTACGCGTTAAACATTACACCCATTGGACTTGGTTGACGCATGAGTGAGTATATGTTTACGCCGACTTTAGCAATATTCTAGCAAATTCACGGCTTGGGACACCAGAAATGGGCTTCACAAATGGTACCCATGTCGGGAATCGAACCCGGGTCTTCAGTGTGACGAGCGGACGCTTTAACCATTAGGCTACCTCACCGCCCTGGCTGGCATGTCCATGTGTCCAACATGAAAAGACCTATCCTCATGATGTCAATCACTGGATTGTGTGGTTCGAACTCGATAAGTTACATACCGCCGTCATAGATGGAAGA